GGAAAGGAGAGGAAGAAGACATTTTTGTGATATTATACTCAAATTTTATTGATTTTCTTTCAGTACTAATCTTTCTTTAAAAAAAGAAAAAACAACACAACAGCCTAAGAAGCATATCCTACTTTTTCCCTTATAAAACCCTACAAATTTAGATCCCATTTATCCCAGCTCTCAATAACCCAGGGATAGGGTAGATTCATACAGCGGAAAAAAGCCTGAGTATCCAACCATTAAACAAAACAAAAAAAAAAAACAAACCAACCAACAACAAAAAAAAAAAATCTAATGTCAGACAAAACTTGCATCTAACATTAAGAAATGTGTTGTTTCTTTTGCGTCAAGTAACACAATCCCCACAGAAGCCTGAAAAAGGTCACAGAGTAGAAGCAGCAGCAGCTACTGAAGGAATACCTCACCAATTTTTTAAAATAGCTATTATTTAACTAGTATCTACACTACTAGAGAATCAAAAGTTTTACTGTTTAACACATATAATCAGATATTCATAAGTAACAAATAATGCTTAAGTAAACCAGACATATTAAAATACAATTGGCTTTAATTCAACTAATTGCAAACAACATTTCAATTTTTCTACTATACTAGCATCTCATGCAGCACATCTAATATTTCTCAAGATAACGAGGAATAGCTTTTCACTTACCACAAAATTGGATCATTAGCCAGCTCACTGAAGCGCTTACACACACAAGCTGCTCTACAGAGATCCTGCTCCAGCAGGTAGGAGAAGATCTTTAGAACCACTTCATCTGGCAACTTCTCCTGAAGATATTGTTCTGCGGGTGCTGCTATTAAACAGTAATCTATATAAGATTATTAACATATTTAACCAGCCCAAATTCTGACCAAAACAGATCATCAACTTGTCATTTGAAAGATTCTCATTTAGAACACCAATGATCTCAAAGCAGGTTGTTTTGTGGTTTTGTTTGTTTGTTTTTTAAGTACATTTCATCTAAATCTGAAGACAAAAAGAAGAGGTAAATCACTGACTCTGGAGTTAGGCAGAAGTTGTAGACTTCAAGTCCTCTTTCAAAACTTTTTAGTTCACCTTTCCTATTGGAGGAATCAACCTGCATACAACTGCAGATGTTAAGTAGGCTACTGTGCATGTTCCAGATACAGTGGCTCCTCACTGCTATTAGCTTCCTTGTGGTTCAATTAACCCACATTATCCATATAACAATAATAATAATATTCCAGTCCCAAAGTCAGAATCTGCAAGTAAAACTTCCTTGTTCTCCCACAAGGAACACATTAGGAAAAAGGACATCTGGGATGCAGGAAACCAGTAGCCAGCAATAATTCCAAAGTCTCCTCCTCCCACTTACTCCCATTTATAGTCTCTCTTTTCAAATTAAAAATCTAAGCCAGAAGAAGTGCTAGCCTTGCCAGATGATGTATTCCTTGAGAGTGGTTTGAGAAAGTGGCATTTCCATGTCATCGTGTGGAGACATGAGTGCGCTTTGTTAAAGCCCTGCTCTTGGGTATCTGGGCACTCTACATATGACAGTTCATACAGAAAACTCCCATCTGTAGTTTGTGTTTTCACGAGGCCCTTCTGTGGCAGGCATCCTCACAGCAGGGGAGTTCTGTTTGCACAGGTCACTTGTTTGGTTATTGTCTTTAGGATCCTTTCTCAGGCAGAACTGTACAGAACAGCTTCCAAAGTTTAGAAGATTTGTATGCAAGGCATTAAAAGCTCCTGCTACATTATAATGCAATTACATCCACGCAATGCCGCTTGCATTATTCATTTTTCCCTAGAACATCCGAACCTAAGGAGCAAAAGAATCGTGATTTTGGTTACTACAGGAAGACTACTAAACTGACTCTCAAAAAGACAACCTACTAAATCTGAGGGAATAACATTCTGAAAAATAGTTTCCACGTGAGATTACACATACACATAAAAAAAAGATAATTCCCCCCCCACCACCACCAAGTCTTTGCTGGGCAAAGCAGCACAACGACTATGTTATGTCCAGTTGGAAGAGACAGAAGATGTGAACTGAACGGAGCAGAACTGTCACTTCTACAAAGGTGCTGAACTGTGGTCTACAGATCACATCACCAGAGCCTGTGTACTGTGAGAGAACTGACTAAAAGCTCTTGTGCCAGGGTGTCGTGCTTACGTCCGTGGTTAGAACCAGTCAGTAGAAATTCTGAAATATTACTGACTTTGCAGTGACTTTCCCTGAACCTGTCCCTTGTTGCACTGTCGTATGAATGCCACCTTGGTGATTCACAAATACCAATTTCCTCTGAGATGCTAGGAGGGCATTTATCCAATTGACTGATGTCTGCTCTCAACAGTAACACAGCTTACAGTACACGTCACTTTAATCCAACAAAAAACCTATGCTGTACAAAAGGAATGAGTCTCACCATTTCACATGCCCATAGCTATTTGCTCCCAAGGCATCCTTTAGGTTGCTAGTACTAATCATGGACAGAACAAACCAGAATTCTTTTTCCCCTCATTCTTACCCATCCTGCTCCAAACTATTTTTTTTTTTAATGGATCAGCTCATCATTGTAGTTCACTGCAAGCTACAGAAGTGCTAGCATGGGCACAAGGAAGCAGACAGGAATTAACATCCAGAAGCTGGCCAAGACAGTTCCCTTCAGCAACAGTATTACTAATGCCAGATTTTAAAAATTATTTTTATTCATAGAAAGAAAACAAATTTATGAGCCAGGCTGAAGCCAGTAAGTCAGCAAAAGTAATAAAAAGCAAGTAGTCTGGAAAGGCTCCTTATGCTCAATAGACACTTGGGGAGCATATACCAGCAGTTCACAAAGTACACATGGTTGGGCAATACCAATAAAATGTTACGTACACAATCAATGCTGGTTTTTAAAAAGTTCCTTTTCCACTAGAAATATAAAGGTTTTTCCTGTGTCAAACAGGCAGCAGAAATTCATTCTACAGCCCTAATCACCCTTTAAATGCATCACAAGATAATTGGACATTGCTTCTGAATTCATCTTTTTTTGTTAGCTTTCCAGTTAGATGTGGAGATGCAGCCTTCTACTGTCTTACAAGTTGAAACCTGATGTTGTGAACTTAAGGCAGTAAATCCTCACAAGCCTTCCACAAACTGTTTTCTCATTTTAACATACAAATCCAAGGCATACAGTTTGATCTTTCCAGGAGAATGAGTTACTTCCCTAAACAACATGCAGAATTTTTTCTTCCTGTAAGTTTATATATGTCAGGACCTTGATTAACTTTTTATTGAAGAAGGAAGTTCACTAGCATAGTGCCTCCCATCGCTTAACAGTTCATATTCCCATTTTCCTCCCTGGGACCTATCTCAAAATGAAAACTGAAATCCACCTTTGTCTCCTCACTGTAAGGGGTATGGACCAACCTCGAAAGTCAAAAAACTTCCTGCAATTAAAAAAGAAAAAAAAAAAAGAAAAAAAAAAAAAGAGGCATCCACAATAACACCCTACACTGCTGCTGCCTGCCCACCCATCCCCTGCTGCAATTTTTCAAGTTGTATTTACCTGGAAACTTAGGCACTGCTTGCAAAATAAAGATGATACTTTCATAGGTGTTTGCTATCCTCACCTACCGTTATACAAAATCCTGTAAAAGTGAGATATTTAAATTAAATTGCCCTTCTTCTGAATTCAGAAGGGGTTGATTTAAGATTTCTCCATTCAAATCACTGATACGGTGATTACTAGGTGGAATTCTCCAGTGTAACTTGAAAAAGCTAGCTTGCTTCTTAATGTGAAGACTTAAATATCCTCTGGGTCCAAGAGAGAACTTCATGCTTTTGTTTTATAAATTCACACTTCATGTTTTGGGTATCTTTTCGTAATCTGTCAAAACAAGGATACATTCAATATGTTCTTCCTCCCAGTTTACGAAAATAAGCCAAAACAGTTTTAAAGGTTTGTTTGGCCACCAAATCAGAAACGTTGGTGTGCTGCTACTCCCAACAGTTTTATGCCTATTGACAAGTACTTTGAGTACCTACAAGAGTATGAATGCACATTCTTAAAAAAAAGAGACAGTTTTCCAAATAAGTGTTAAAAACAGACAAGAATAAAAATAAAAACAAAGTTCAAGAGGTCACCAACAATCTTTATCTTTGCTCTAACATAAGTTGACAACTGAACCATTTATGACTTTAATAGTGTTAATATACTAGACAACTGAAAATTAGAAACACAACAGGGTATCAGTGAAGCTAATTCAGTTTCACTTTTGATCATTTAGTAGATAGAAACTAGTATAGTAGTACCATGACAAAAGGCAGGGAGAGCTGCCTGAAAGTGAATTACCTTCTTTGTACAAAGATCACGAATGCCATCCTGTGAATCCCGAATTGTAAATTATGTCTTGTATGGACACCTTTTTTGTCCATGTTAGTGGAGAAGATGGACACAAACAGCTTTTGTGCCACAAGGAGGCATTTAGTAAAAATATTTTCTTGTTAAGAAGTAGCGTGTCAGAAAACATACCATGCAGTGTTCTTGGAAAAATATCTTATAAATCAACAGGAAAAGTAAAAAATAAATTTTAAAAGGCAGTAAGTTCTGTGAACTAGGAGCTGTGCATGTACCTAACATAGAACAATCAACAAGCGATCGCATAACCTGGAGTCTCAGTATCTACTGCAACTCTGTAGTTCAGTGAAAAGAAAGAAATTACTTGTCTCGGAACTGAAGTTTTCCAAAGAGGTTAAAAGTCAGCAAAAACTGCCGAGTATAAAATAAGTATGTAAATGTAGTGACCTTAAAGCAAGAGAGAAAAAAGCCTACACAGTAATAAACAAAAAGGAAGAGCATGTCAAATGATTAAAAGCCCTGGATTAAAATGACATGACGAGTGGTACTGAAGACTTTGAAATACCCTGGTAAGGAGAATAATACATTTACAGTTGAGGTACTGTAAGGAAATAGTCAGAATATACTGAATTTAAATCCTTCTGTAAATCAAGAAATACTATATTAGCATATAATACAAATATTTGTTTCAGTAAGATTTAAAAGCTGTAAATGTTTTCTACAGATGTGAAGCAAATGCTGAATATGTAGGTTCACCAGTCATGTGTGAGCAGCAAATCTCCACCATACCTTTTTCTTACCCAAATTTTTTGTTTCTTTATTTTTTGTATTCTACTTGAAAGAGTTTGTGAAAAAATATTTAAATATTGTCTATAATGTGTTGCTTTCCCATCAATATTATTGTATATTCATTAATCTTTCTGTGTCAGGATTGAAGAACTCATTGTCCACGGCAGAGACCACTGGAGGACAAGGTTGCAAATAACAGAAAAAAACATGTCAATACTTCAAAGTTCTAATGCAGTGTTCTTGACAGTATCTGAGACTGGGGTGTTTGGTTGGGGTTTTAAGGATGTTTGTTTTGTTTGGGGTTTTTTTGCCCTTAATTTGAAATGGCAACTCACTCTCAGCAGCAATAATACTGAAATCAGTATTAAAATAAGGAATAGTCTTTGTTTCATTGATGGGCTCCACTCCAATTAGAAACTAATTGATTGGCATTTCTCCTTTCATCTCTGCCAATTTTTCCTCAACTCGGAGTCCATACAAGAAGGAATGGTTCCCCACCAAGACATTTTCTTATGTTTCTAGTCCCATGCCTTCATTTCATCCACAGTTCTAAAACTAACAGCTGTATGTTCCAGATGACAATATATAGTCTTCACTGATGACAATCCAAAGTCTCATGCTTACCACTCAGTCACAACACCTATCATTATCTACACTAACAAAAATACGTGGCAGGGGGCGGGGGGCACAGGGTGGAAAAAAAAAATCTCACCACAATCAATACGCGTACAAGTTTAGAGGAGTATCTCAACAACTCAATGGCAAAAAATAAAAAATAAAGCATAATTCACACTGGGAAAGAGATTATTAGAAAGTGGATTGAGATGGACGCTCCCATGTTAGACTGACTGATTTGAATATAATCTTAAAAGCACAATTATAAAAATCATTGTTTACAATTCCTCTGGTAATTCCATGCTGGAGAAGCCTGTACAATCCTGTGCTTTCCCTGTATGAGCTCAAGAACATAACAAAAGGAACGTGCAGCAAAAGTGATGAGAATTCCTTTGGAAATTTGTGTCATTCATGCTATAACTTGTATCACAGGACTCAAGTAAAGTTACATACCTTCACTAAAACAAGGAGGCAAGTAAAAGCGTGAGGAAGAACACATTAGAAGTGAATAACCTTGAAGAAAAACTAAGAATTGGCAAAAGAAATAGAGTCTACAACAAGATGACTTTGCACAAGGCTTCAGATATCAAATCAGGAAATGAAACTGGAAGGACAGTGACACATGTTGATGTTCAGTCGGTTCTGGCTATCTCAAGAATATAAATCTGAAACGGTTGCTGAAATTAAAACAGTTAATCGAAGGGGTGAGGGGAAAATAAAACCAAGGGGGGAAGAGACAGAGGGCTTGAATGATAAAGTCTACACTATGGAGCAGATAAGAAGCGAGAAAGAGCAGAAGCAATGAAAATGGACCAAAGCCTTCTGCCAGCTGCTCAGTTTTAATTCACCATGTTAAGTGAGACACAGACTAAAAAAAAAAAAACAAAACAAAACAAAAACCACAAACCCAAGAAAAGCAACAGAAAGCACATCAATGGGAGCTGGCAAGTGGTGGTGTTGATTTTCCAGCAAAAAGTGACAGCAAATCTCCTGGAACTAAAGAGTGTGTCAGGAGACAAATAGGGGTAGAAGCAGAGACTGAAAAATGATGTAGAAGAAAAAAAACAAGTAGGATGTATAAGTCTATACATATGTGCACAAATAACTCTATATAAAATGTGCACAAACAAAAAATATACACACACAATATAATTATATACATATGTATTGGATGCATGTTTATTATACAATGTACATATGCTGTATATGTGTGTGAAATATAGGTGTATATATATGTATATAGGTATACGTGTATTTTTTATTTATAAACACACACAAACTCTCCCTATCCACAATGAAGTGCTAGGACATACCAGAACTACCTCTAAAAAAATTATACTGGAACAATACATCAATACAAGAAATGGTAACTAAGCCGTTACTGCTGCACCGTTGCAGCATTACTGCTCCTAACAGTACCTTGGATACAACTACACAGCACCGGGGAGGATAAAAAACAAACAAACAACCAAAACCAACCTCAAACCCGCGTGCCTGCAGTGAAGCAGTCAGACTAAAGGACCAGATTCTAAAAATCAGATTCAAATCATGCTTCCAAATTTGAAGTTCAAAACAAGTTTGTAGTTGTGTTTCCACTACTGTTTCTTAGTTGGAGAACACACAGGAAAAGTAAATTCAGGGGTGGTGTGTGAAGTCAAAATGTCTCCACTCCTTTCCCACCCCCTTTTTTGTACAAAAAGTTACTACCTGATAAATCCTGGGATTTTCCAGATACTCTAGCACGTTTAGCTCGGTGACCAAAGTTCTCAGTAGCTGAAGTGGATGCACCCTTTAATGAAGTAAGTAAGAATTAATTCAGTCATTAGGTAACTTATGAAAAGTACTAATTAGCTTCCTATTTTTGAAACAGCAAGATTTACTTTACAATTAAAAACAAACAACCAAAAGTTACCTCCATACTGCTCTTTGTAGGGCAAGCTGTTCTTTTAGGTAGAAGAGTTTTTCTGCGAAGTTGGTATGGACTATTTTGTGCACCAGGACCTGATTCTTCTGCAACCATATCTGCAGGTACATCATCATCTGTCAACAAAAAAGGAAATCTGCTAATCAGAACTGTAGTCTTGTTTTATACCATTAAAATGCTACAGAAATATTCAAATAAATACATCCTGTCAGGAGAGCGGGGAGGAAGTACTAGAGCACAGCAAACTTAGTGAAAAATTGGAATATACACAGCGTACATCAAGTTACATGAGAAAGTACATGTGAATTAACTTATGTTCTCTGTATGTACACAGCAGCTATACCAAAAGCTGCTCAAAAAAAAAAACCCAACACCCAAAACATCGGCTTTTGGTTCCTCTACAAGAATATAATTCACTGGGCTACTTCCATCATCTCATTACCTCAAATTTTTCACCTAACACTATCAGCATAACGAGGAACACTGGAGTTTCAATTATTAACCAGATGTTATCAAGCAATCCTTTAGTAAACATGGCATTTAGTACAAAACTCAAGGCAGAATTTTCCCCAAACATTTCAGGCATAGCCCAGGCCAGCATACAAATCCTTCTGTAAAATGGACGTAGCTTTAAATATGTACATTCTATTTGCCTAAATTATACTTATATTCTCTTACTGCCCTTAAAAAAAAAAGGGGGGGGGGCGCGCAGGCAGCAGAGAGTGTAATGAGTATAATTTTAAGTTTTTGATTCATTACTTTCAGTCTTCCATGTTCATACATTTATGGAACATACTCAAAACAAGCAAAGAATAACTACTTATCACTGCATGTCTTATGACTAGCATCACAGAGTTTCAAGAATTTAAAAAAGGCCAGAACAAATATCATCTAGAAAATAAAGCTCAGCTCCTCTTAAGTAAAAGGTATACTTTCTGCAGATGCTTAACTGTGAGAAAATAATTTTGGACTTCCTTTTAATTTTAACTGCTTTTTCATTTTTTTAAACTGGGTAAAACATGATGTAAAAGTGATAGCCAGAAACGCAATACTACAGAGCAAGCAGTTTTCCTGAATATATTATGGTGAAGAGAGACTGATGTGAAAAAAAAAACACAAGCAAACAACAAAACAAACAACCCACCATAAAACCCTCCTACCCCTCAAATATTGAGCCAGCCTGTTTAAAACACAAAGAAAAGCAATTCCAAAAGTTCTAAAGATTCCCTTACATTTCAATGTCTTAATCTCATGATCTTCCTAAGGGGTTTTGTTTTGGTTTTTTTTTTCAACATAAATTACAAAACATTGCATTTACATAGGATTATACACACCATCTTAGCCCCAAGCTGCTACATCAGTGACAGCTAACCAACAAAATTCTGAAGAAAGAGCTATTTAAGTGTCCTCCTGCTCCTTTCAGGTCCCAATTTTTCCTCTTCGTTAACAGATATTTATAAATTGCAAACCTTGCCATATATCGTAAACAGATCACAACACTGCCAGGACATCCAAATAGAGGACAGAAGCTGGAAAAAAGATGAAGTCCACTGGTGGTATGTGCACAACTTCACACAGTCAGCTCAGGGCAATCTAGGAGAGTGTCATCAGCTCATTAATCCACCTGAAAACTAACCCTGCAAGAAGTCCCTCCATGACGAGCCTTCGGCCAGTGCAGCAGCTGGTCCAGCTCAGCACAATCACAAGGAGAGGATAAGACCACATGACTGGGAAGAACCACCACACCTTTTGCAGCAACAGCACAGGTTTCTAAGGACAGAACTTCTACCAGAAAACCACCACTTTTTAACACACAGCCATCTTCATAACTTCAGCTAGCATTTAGTTCACTCTCCCTCTTCCCTTCTGCTACTTACATGACACACTTCCCTAGCATCTGAGCACTTCTCTGCCTATAAAGGCTAAATATTTATGCATTATGCAAAAAACCTGAAGGACACTGATAAGATGAACTGCAGTGCATTTTCCTGTAAAGGAGCATGTGGCCCAGTGTTGGCATTGTGCATCTGTGGGTGGTTAATGACCCCAGAGAGGACCCATTGCGCACTCACGATTCAGTTGCCTAATTTTACCAGTTTCTTTTCATCTCTGATGAAAAATACCCTACCAATTTAACAAGATATCAGCAGGTGGAAAAGAGAAGCTGCTACAGAAGAGTTCCCAGCATTCCCGTGCACGCCAGAGCAGAAAAGGAGCTGTGGGTCTGAAGTGGGCACTACTAAGAGCAATTCAGGCAGCTGCCACCAGCGGCAAGGTGCTCTCATAGCAAAACACCCAAATGTACTCAAACACTGCAGCATGTATCTACTCTGCACCTCTTATGTCTGTTTAAGACCTGACATAGTAATTATTATTTCTGTTGCAAATAACTCCCAGAAGCATGCTGCTCAGGGATTTTGAGTGTCTTAAGCCTGTTCCCCTATTTTGCATTGAAGACAAAACGACTGTCAGAACAGCTGGGGTTTTTCCCCTATTCTGGATAATTGGGACAATAGTTCAAAATTGCCATGGGAAACACAGCAAAAGCATAGTAAGCAAAGAAAACAGGGAAAAAAAAAGAAAAAGAAAAATCAAAACACAGAATTTTGATCCCTCAGTAGGCGATGAAAAGGGCAAAGACAAACCCCAATCAGGTCCTTAGAAGCAAACCCGTGGAGGCCACTAAGGACAAAACATATTACCGCTGAAAAGATAAGGCAGCAGCCTGTGGGGGAGAACAGAAGTAAAGGTCAGTTTGGCTGAAACACTGAAGGACTGGCTAAGCAGAGAAGAAATGTATTCTTTTTCCTGCAGTGGATTTAGGAGGATGGCAGGAGTCCCACACAAAGACCACTTTTCTAGCACAGGTGACAAAAGGTATGCACACATTCACTCAGATTCACAGCAGGTATCAGAAGAATTAAAGTCTTCCTTGTTTCCATCCGAACAGCAAGGAAGATGAGAGAAGGGCCCCAGGGGAAAGCACAAATCCACGCCACGCGCGGGGAGCAGACAGGCGCCCAGGGCACACGCGTGCCGAGCAACGCCAGCCCAGAGGCAGCAGTCCATGTGGCAGTGCCCACGGAGCCTATCGCGACAGCAGCTCATGCAGCAAGAGCGCGACGCACAGGGAAGAGAGTACTTAAGGAACCAAGACCCTCCAGCCTGCCCTGCCGTGAGCCTGCTAATCGCATGCAGGTAATTTGCTGGCTATAGAAGGATAACAGCAGCCAGATGACTTAGATGACATCTTTCTCACCAGCAGTTTTTGTCACACTTCTGAGGGGCTGACCACCTTCTGTACAGATTTCTAACATTTCAGGAACAATAAATGCTGATAATGTTTTCCAAATGCGGCCTGTGCAGTTATCGTCAAGTGAAACACCATCAGGGAACCTGAAAGTCTGAAGTGATGTTACAGAAGTAGCCTCAGTGCGGGTTTTTAGCCTTGCAAATGCTCCACTGTAAGCTCTGAACAGACTCAACCAGCTACAGTGCTGGCTTTCAGATAAATACTTCACAGAAAGCAGTATTTCCTGAAGACTGCACATTACTCCTGAGCAAGCAACATGATGACACTCATAACACAGACTGAGAACTCCAAAAGCTGTATTTTGAAAATCCTCCCCTAAAAACACACTTACATAACACACACACATATCTGCTTTCAAGCAGAAAAATCAATTTTTAAATACAGAATCTCAGTGCCTCCAAAATATTTTGAAAAACTATTTTAAAGCATAAGAGTACAGCATCTAACAACATAAATAAAAGGCATAATAATTGCATTTGTTGATGGTAGAAGCATAAAAGTCAATAAACAAATTTGGGGTAGTGTGTGTGTAATATTAATATCCTCATACAAACACCTGCTGAAATGACTGCCAGATGCTGTCACAGTTTTAACCAGCTGAATACATTCGCAGTTTTTACCAGATTAAATTAAGCAGAGTCTGCTCTCAAATAAACATTTACCTGAATATTTTATACCAATTATATTGTAATTAAGATTAAAAAAATCGTTTCAAACAACAACGATTTTCTTGAAAATTAAAAACTTAGTGACACTGACAGGTCAAAACCTAAATTTAAATTAAGAAGTATCTTACGTGGCAGTTCAAAACAGCTCATGAAACCTGAATCATAACACTACGAACTTTAACACCCGCAAAAGACCAGTAAGCACAAATACTTCCAGGATGGAAAGAAAAATAAAATTAATCTGCCACTGCCAAGTGCTATAATCAAGACTGTCTTGCATTTCCACAAATGCTATGGAAGTGTGTACGTTAGAGTACACAATTAACTTTTTTTGTTCCATGAAGACGTTGTAAGTTCCAGAAAAGTGATAAAGGACAAAACAATTTATTTTAAAAGAATCCAAACATATCACTTCTAAAGAAAATTTATCATGTCCGCACCATCTTCTTTACAAAAGCATATGCAAGTCATTTCACTTCTATCTTACACGTGTTCAGATTGTATTTCCAAGACTCATCTTAAATATTAACAACAACTGTTGTGAAAACGGTAAGGCTGACTAATACTTAAAAAAAAATTATGTAAAACCCCCAAAATACACTCTTGCCGGGGGGGGGGGGGAGGGAAGGATGTTTCAAGTGAGGAAGCTCATGCACACTCATCTGTAGAGTTTAATCACTTCATTTTAACACTGCAATTTCACTTTTTTTTGGTGCTGTTTTTCCATATCTTCCCAAAACAAGGCAGGGAGAACAAAAGAAAAAACAAGATGATTTGTAGTCAAGAGAGGCAAAATGCTGTGGGTGGCAGGTATTTCCAAGTAGACACAGCATTGAAATTGTTCCTGCAGACTGAAGGAAGAAAATAGCGAGAAACATAACCAACTTATTAAAATAGAGAAATCCATATCAAACTTGGGGTAGGTCCTACAACACCACCTCTAAAAAATAAAAGTTAACCTATACTGAACCTATTTGAATGAAGTAATGCTTCATCTTGCCTATCAAACAAATTTCAACACTAAGTGCTCATCATACAGTATCTTAAGTAGAACTGGTGGAACTTCAGAATAAACTAAACTGTTAAGACAAAAAAATTCCAACACTGCCCATCTTCATAATTGGAAGAAAAATCTAAGAAATACAACTAAAATGTAAACTGATACTTTGGGCAGAGCAAATCTTGCCATATACTTGGCAAAACATGTATAAGGCATACAGCCAACCTGTGAGATGACAGCTCCAACTATCTCACTGCTGGATTCGCTTAAAATTGCAATGGAGAAGAAGAGAGAACAAAAGTTTAAGGGAGTAGAAAAGGAAGGTACACACAACAGAGACAGTAATAAAAGACAAAATAACCTGCAGAAAAGAAATACAAGGCAGGAATCTTCTATTTGCACATACAATAACTGTAAAAACATTAACACCTCTCTAACAAGTTGTCAACCCAAACAAGGAGAATGCACCCACTCACTATTTTTCCCTAGGCTGCAAAATCACTGGTAGTGAGCTGTTCAATAAAGGGATGTATCAATAGTGTGACTGACACTCATCCTATGTCCTTGCAAAGACTCCCAACAGGTGGCCGACATGTAAAAGCAGA